GCACCCCAACTCCATCAAGTATATGTACTCATGGATATGCATTATTCATAATCAGAGTGCTCAGCCCCCACAGGGCTTGGAACAACAGCCTTTTGACTGGTGGGCCTTCCTCACTGCCTTAGGATGTGCAGTGTCTGGAAGCTTCAAGGTACACCAGCAGCCGAGAAGGCAGGTGCTGTGCAGGAACTCTGTGAGTTGGGTTCCATATGTGCACACAGCTTTTTGTGTTAGTGGTAGGGATAAAGCGGAGACTGCAGTGAGTCACAGGCTGCTGCTCCTCTTTTAGCAGTTTCCCCAACGAAAAAGAAAACAACTTTAATTCCACCTTTGTCTGTACATGTGGGCTTTTCCTTAACTAGAATAATTACGAAGATGGCAATTATTCAGTCATATTAATTACAAAATACAGCCTTTATATACTATCTGCTCTGTAAATATTTCTGGTAATGGAAAAGAAGGTTAGCCTTCATAATTTTTTATTGTTACATGTTCTATTTAAATCCAGCTGTTTGGGAAATTAAAACTTGGGCAAGTGTTTCCCGCGTGTTTTTCTATTATGTCATTAGCTGTATTTACATTTTCTCAGCACATTATAGTTTTATGGCGTTCTTGATATTGTCAGAATGAAAACCAGGTATGTAGTGCCTCGCAAACTTATAATCTAGCAACATACAGCTTGCCTACTGCCTTTTTTTTTTTTTTGAAGTGTCATATTGAGGTTCTGTTAAACACAGGCTGTGCTAACAATGCTAAGTACCTTTTTCTCCATAAGTCGGCTGTAAGTTTGTATTCTGACTAATGCTCCCAGAGACCCCTTTTATGTTCAGAGAGCACCTGCTTAACAGTTACCCACTCTAGAAGCTGGGGTTTGCTCCTGGAATCTGAATGGTTTCTTACATCTTTAATAGCTTCACCTTAGCATTTTCAAATAAGATACAGCACCGAAGCATTGTAAAAACATATAACCGTTCACTTCGGATTTTTCTTTCCCACAGAGTCAAAGTCACAGACTTAATAAATACACATCATTTAATTACTCTATCCTGTCTGAGCAGAGATTCTCTCGTGAAAAGATTATACACAGGGCTCTGGAAGAAGGGCATAGGGAGAGCAGTACAGACTCCCAGGAACTGGGTGAAAGGTACGAAGGGTTGAGACGTGTGCAAGGTGCAATCGTCTGAGGGCCGCCTTCCCTGGCAGAGGCTGCAAGTGCATATTAGAAGACTGTGGTAGAGACCATCATTGTTCCATTGGGTTCACATTCCCATGGCATTGTCCTCAAGGAGCTAGGTTTTAAGCCTTTCCTCTCCTGTGTCCTCCGTAGTGCTAGAGGTCAAGTAAGCTAACTCTGGGCTAGACAACTTTATCTCGAGTTTCATCCCCAATCCTGTGATTAGACCTGGGAAAGCACCTCTGTTGCTTTGGGTGGGATGTTTGTGGTTTTTGTGGATCACAGGTAATAAAATGGAACACTAGGAGATGTCACCGATTTGGAGTCGGTGCACTTTATTCGGTGAATAGATGTGTAGATTGAACACCAACCATGTGGCAGGCACTGTTCTAGACACCCCAGACACAGCTGTGTAAAAACAAAGATCACTGGCTTTGTGGAACCTGCCCTGGAGTTGAACGAACAGACCATGAATAGTTCATACAATAAGCTTTAAAACTATGTAGTATATGATTAGTCTGCTGGGGTAACAGAATACCAGAGGCTGGGTGGCTTCACCCACAGCAGTCTGTTTCTCACATTTGGAGGCTGGAAGCCCAGATCAAGGTGTCAGCAGATTTGGTTTCTCCTGAGGCCCCTCTTCCCAGCTTACAGATAGATGGCTGCCTTTTCACTGTGCCCGCACATGGCCTTTCGGCAGTGTGTGAACATCCTGCTCTCTCTCTCTTTCTCTCCCTCTCTCTTTCTCTCCCTCTCTCTTTTCCTCCTTCCCTCCTTCCTTATAAGGAACCAGTAACATTATGGCTCCATCTTGTTTTTCCTTAATTTCTTCTTCAGAGTCCCAAACACAGGTATATTCACTTTGGAAGTTGGAGGCTTCCACGTGGGAATGCCAGGGAACACAGTGCAGTAGTACATATTTTTTCCCCTTCAGAAGTAGGGAGAAAAGTCACAGCAGGATAAGTGAGACTGCACGTATTATTAGGGGTAGGAGCCACAGTTTTGAGCAGAAGGGGCAGGGTAGGTCTCACTGAGCAGGTGGTATTTGAGTGAAGACTTGAAAGTCAAATTCCATTCAAATTTCATTACAACCCAGGGACTGGAAGGGGAGGAGCAGTGTGGTGGAAACCAATAATGGGTAAGGGCCCGTGGATCTAGATTCTGAACCAAGCCTTGCATCTTTCTTTCTTTTCTAGCTTTTAATTAATTAATTTGAAAGTGTTATAAAGAGGGAGAGAGAGAGAGAGAGAGAGAGAGAGCTCTTTCATTCATTGGTTCACTCTCCCAAACAGCTGCAACAGCCAGAGCTGGGCCTGGCTGAAACCAGGAACTTCATCTGGGTCTCCAACATGGGAGGCAGGGGCTCAAGACTTGGGCCATCTTCTGCTGCTTTCTCAGGCCCATTAACTGGAAGATGGATTGAAAGTGGAACAGCTGGGACACGAACCGGCAGCCTCCATATGGGTTGCTGGCATTGCAGGTGGCAGCTTTACCCACGGTGCTACAATACCCACCCCTCCCCAGCCCGTCTTTTTGGTAGTTGAAGTTCCAAATGTTATTTTAGCCTTCTGGGTTCCAGTTTTCAAATACAAAAATACTTGAGAAAGTTCATGGAGGGGCCGGTGCTGTGGCATAGTGGGCTGAGCCTGTCCCTGTGGTGCTGGCCTCCCATATAGGCACTGGTTATAGTCCTGGCTGCTCCTCTTTCGATACAGCTCTCTGCTGTGGCCTGGGAAAGCAGTGGGGGATGGCCCAAGTGCTTGGGCCCTGCACCCACATGGGAGACCCAGAAGAAACTCTTGACTCCTGGCTTGGGATCGGCCCAGCTCCAGCCGTTGTGGCCATTTGGGGAGTGAACCACCAGATGGAAGACCTTTCTCTCTGTCTCCCTCTCTGTCTGTAACTGTACCTCTCAAATAAATAAATAAAATCTTTAAAAAAAAAGTTTTTGGAAAATGGAATTAAAAGGTAAATTTGTTGTGATGCAAAAAGATTTTGAAATCCCTGAGTAGTTTTTTTCCTGTAATATACATTTTCTGTGGACTTTTGAAGACCTTTGTGTGCTGGGTTTTAAAATTCTTTTACACCAAAATAAACCCATCTTTTAATTTCATTTTCCACGAACTTTTTAAAGTCCTCTCTTGTGCTGGCCTGTGTGAATTTGTGATGCCAAAGCATGCATTCTTGGAGAGGCATGAGGTAGACAAAAACACCTTGTGCTTGGGGGACTTTGTTCATCTTTTTGTTTTTAATAATGGAAGGCATTTAAGGCTCATTCTAGTTAAGTGTTGTTAAGAATTCTATGTAGGGGCCAGTGCCGTGGCTCAATAGGCTAATCCTCCGCCTGCAGTGCCAGTACCCCGGGTTCTAGTCCTGGTCAGGGTTCTAGTCCTGGTCAGGGTTCTAGTCCCGGTCAGAGCACCGGATTCTGTCCCAGTTGCTCCTCTTCCAGTCCAGCTCTCTGCTGTGGCCCGGGAGGGCAGTGGAGGATGGCCCAAGTGCTTGGGCCCTGCACCCGCATGGGAGACCAGGAGAAGCACCTGGCTCCTGGCTTCAGATCAGCTCGGTGTGCCGGCCGCAGTGCACCGGCCGCAGTGGCCATTGGTGGGTGAACCAGCAGAAAAGGAAGACCTTTCTCTCTGTCTCTTTCTCTCACTGTCTAACTCTGCCTGTCAAAAAATAAAAATAAAAAATAAAAAAATAAATTAAAGAATTCTATGTAGGATGAGATCCTCTTTCCCAAAAGACAAACACCCAATACGACAGACCTAAAGTTTCTACCATGTGGACCTGTAAGGGAAGCAAAAGGCCCGTGAATGTCAGAGGTGGCAGGAAGAGGGTGCTGGTGTCTTCCTTCTTGGCCTTAGGCTGGGCGCGGTGGAGCCTAGCCGCAGAATCCATCCCATAATAGGCAGCTCTGCCCTGACCACATACTCCCCACCAACTAACCATGCTAAAAATGGAAAAAGGACATTAGTGGAAAAACTGGTGAACAAAATCTGAATAAAATCTGGAGTTTAGATAATGGTAATCTGAATTTCTTAGTTCTGACAAATGTCCTGTGGTTGTGAGAGATGTTAACCTTTAGAGAATGCTGGGTGAAAGATATGTGGGAACTCTTTGGACCATCTCTGCAACTTCTCCATAAATCTAAAATTATTCTAAAGTGCAAATTTCTTTAAAAACAAAAATCCCATTTCGGACTTGGTGGTGACTTGGGCTCATGGATCTGGGTTTATGTGCTACGACAAGAAATCCAGTTAGGAGTAGAGTACCTGTCCCACTGTGAGTGGGTCAGCAGTGTCAACTGATGATAGGGCGGGAGTGGAATCTCGGTTTTGGACTTTTCTCTTTGGCAAATTCTCCGTCCTCACCTTCCCCCCTCACCCCAGGGTTTTGCTTGGGCTTCGCCTCTGACTCGTGTTTTTATTCCCTTACGTAAAGCTGGGTAGTTGCCCAAAAGCCCTATGCTGAGATCGAGTTAGGTGGGGAGAGTGCCAGGAAGTCAGGGAGGCAGCAGCATATCCAAGAAAGAAGACATTGAGTTAAAAAAAAAAAAACAAAGAGAAACAGCCAAACGCTTTGCAGAGGCAGCACCTTTTCAAACAGGAGAGCCCTGAAAGCTTCCGAAGCCCACGCTCGTCACCAGTCCCACACTCACAGAGTCCATTGTCTGTTCTGTGCCCAGGGCCCAGCCTGTTTGATCAGGTTGTGGTCCCTCTGGCTATTGGCACAATGTGATGGTGCATTCCATACTTCATTAAGTATGGGGCAGCGCTGAGGGGGCGTGGCCTCTTGCATATATATAATCCCTTTTTTCTTTTGACAGCTGCAAATCAGAAGGAGCCCCTGAATCTTAATTTTAAAGTGAAAGAGGAGCCCAAGGAAGAGGAGGCCCTAAGCACGACCTTGCCCCGGTCCAGCTATGTGTTCAGCCCGGAGCCTGAAGCGGCCGCCCCAAACATCTCTGAGGACGCGCTGAAGGCCCAGGAGGGCAAGGGGAGCGTGCTCCGGCGGGATATGTCCGTGAAAGCCGCATCCGAACTGCTCATGAAGCTCTCAGGTACTGGCCTTTTCTAGAATGTTCACATTCTGACCATGTCACTGGTAAGCCAATTGGACTGCATGCTGCATGGTCTCACAGTGTCTCATTATTATGGGAAATTCAAGGAATGATCCATTTACTCAGCTTAAATCCTTGTGTTGTGTGTATGAGTTCGTGTGTGTCTACCAGCTGTGTACCTGTCTTATTATTAAATACAGCCTTCTTTTCTTGAATATTACTGAAAATTGTTGGAAAACACCACTGCTTTCTAAGATGATGTGGGTCTTCATAATATCAAAGCTCTTTTCCTAATTGATCAAGATTTCAATATTTTTCCGATAGAGGACTTTGCACTTTTTGTGTATTTATTTTATGTTCTTTAAAAACAATCAAAAATAGTTTTCTTAACTTCATAAGCAGATGAAATGGCTCTGGAAGTAATTACCAATGGAGTAGCCATAAGAGATTTTATGGATAGAGAATTTCATAATGGAATATTACAATAATTAACCAGTTCCTAAGATGAGTGAGTAGTTCTTTACTAGGATCTAAATGTGATACCTATTAAATGCAGGGAAAATGGGCTATAATTTGATATGCATGCATTTTGAATTGTTTTCCACCCTGTCTCCTCTCTGTCTCATTCCCTCAGCAAGAGGTCAAATTTAGCATGTCTTTTAAGGTATGGCTTTTAGGAAAGAAAATTTATGTCAATCTTAATACTTGTCAAATCATATCCCATCTTCATTTCATAAAAATATGATTTTTAGAAAGTATATTTAAAATGCGAATATGAATCCAAAGCTGTTTTTAGTTTGGAACTTGCTGTGCCTGGAGGATGAAAGCAAGAAATGTAGTGGAGAGACTGCTCCGTGATCTGTGTTTCTGGTTGACCAGTAGTTCGGAAAGTAAGACATTAACAGTGATTTACCCAGAGTCATTATAGTAGAACAGTTGAAATTCCTGTATTTGCCAGTTGGTGGGGTTAAGAATACTTTTCTTTGATGTTAATTCAAAACATACTGGAATTTCAGGGGAACATGATTGGTTACAGATAAAGTCTAGTGTAATCATTACTTGTCCCTTGTAGCCCCATTTTCCTCAACTTCGCAGTGATACTGCAGCTTCTCCAACTCAGAGGGGCGGTCTGGCAAGATTGCACTGATTGCTGAAAGCTGGGAGGTTTTAAAAATGATATCGAGGCCAGCGCATTCTGATACATTTGAACCGTTCTCTTGTGTCGCAAGCTTGCAGTGAATAGGGTGATCTGTGTCTGTTCCTCTCAGCCATTCAAGGCGGTCACCCAGCCCTGATTCGTCTCCCAGAGCGTAAGCGTTCCCATTACAATGGCTTGAACTCTCATCCAGCAGTGACTCCTGCCTCCCCTCCTCATGATGAGGTTCTGGAGTGTAACAGCTCCATTTCAGAGCTTGCTGTGCAACCAGTATTGCAAGTCGCAGGGGCCGGACTGGCACCAGAGGACAACATGTAAAATGAGATTTCAGGAAAGATGCTCTTTGAGGAAAATGTTTCATCCTGATCCTTTTGGATGATGTGATTTGAGACACTGAAGTATGAAATCATTTCCTAGATGATAATGAGATCCTTCAAATTTAATGATGTTTGTGGACAGCAATGGCCCTTCTACATGTGGATGTTGACTTTTATTGATTCTCTGTGCTGTGGGGTTCAACAGTAGTTGGAAGGCTGGCATAGTCACATATCCAAAGGACATCTGTCCTTACTTTGTGATGTGGAAACAAAAACTTGTTTGAAGAGTGACAACTATTGTTTTTTTTTTTTTTGCCCTGAAACAATTTGTCCTAGTATTCCATATGCAAGAGACTTAAATCAGAGAAATATATGTCATAGCCCTTACCTGAGAGATGCTCCGGTCTGGAGGAAGTGATCCAGTGCAGTGGAATCCGTTCAAGTGATGTGCGCTTAGAACTTTACTACTATGTTCTAGCAGCAAGTGATCAGATCGCTGCCAAGTTTCTGGTAGTCTCAGGAATAGGCATGTAACTTGAAAAGAAATGGCTCAGGCCGGCGCCGCGGCTCACTAGGCTAATCCTCCGCCTACCGGCGCCGGCACACCGGGTTCTAGTCCCGGTCGGGGCGCCGGATTCTGTCCCGGTTGCCCCTCTTCCAGGCCAGCTCTCTGCTGTGGCCCGGGAGTGCAGTGGAGGATGGCCCAAGTGCTTGGGCCCTGCACCCCATGGGAGACCAGGATAAGTACCTGGCTCCTGCCATCGGGTCAGCGCGGTGCACCGGCCGCAGCACGCCAGCTGCAGCGGCCATTGGAGGGTGAACCAACGGCAAAGGAAGACCTTTCTCTCTGTCTCTCTCTCTCACTGTCCACTCTGCCTGTCAAAAAAAAAAAAAGAAAAAGAAAAAGAAAAAGAAAGAAAAAGAAAAGAAATGGCTCTTCATTTCAGAGCCACAAGGCACAGAGGAGTCGCCTTGCATTAGATTTAAAGTGGACGTTACAAATTTCTAATCACAGAAATCAGTGCTTTTTGAAGATGTTGCTGTCTTCCTGCAGGTTGCTAGTTGAACAGTTTCAGTGAACATGCCCTGAAAGATGTGCAAGTAAAGGACGTGCTAGCTCTCACTGCCCCGTTTTCTGAGATCACTCCTGTCTCTACATAGAATAAGAGTGCATTTCCTGAAGCGTCCATGCCGTTAGTGGCAACTGCTTCACATTCACCTTGGCTGATGCCCACAAAACCTTGTTGTAAGGATTCTTATGAGTGCCACTCCCTCACGTTTCTTTATAGTCTTCTGTCATGGTTGGGAAGATCCTTTTTGTAAGGAAGAATGGACGATGAAAGCACAGCAGTTTCCCCCTTACCTGAGGGGGACAGTCCAGGAGCCCCAGTGTACACCTAGAACTGTGGTTAGAGCCGAATCCTGTGTACACTGTGGTTTCCTTCACGTAGATAACTATGATGAAGTTTAATATTTTTAAAAAAGTATTGATTTGCTTTTTCTGTATTTTTATATGGGAGGCAGAGAGACAGAGACAGACAGGCAGACATAGACAGAGAAAGAGATCTTCTACTACTGGTTCACTCCCCAAATGCCTGCAACAGCCAGGGCTGGGCCAGGCGGAAGTCACAAACGGAGACTCAGTCTGGGTCTGTCATGTGCTTGGCAGGAGCCCGAGTTCATGAGGCATCACCTGCTTGCCAGGGTGCACACTAGCAGGAAAGCAGGCCAGCAGCAGAACTGGGAGTTGAACTGAGACATTCTGATGTAGAAGTCCCAAGCAGGGCCTTAACAACTGCACCAAGCACTCACCTCGGTGAAGGTTAGTTTATAAATCAGGCACAATAAGAGAACAAAAATCGCAAATCATAAAATAGAACATTTATAGCAATATGCCGTAATGAAAGTAATTTAGAAATTAATTATTTCTGGAATTTTCCGCTTATTATTTTCATACCCTGCTTGACTGTGGTAACTCACCGTGGAAACTGTAGGTCAGTGGGGATATACTTTTTCTTGTTTTAGTTTTGGCTCAGGGAATAGCTAAGAGCTGTAATAAAAGGATTTTTCTTCTCTGTTACTTATTTCCTTGAGATTAGAAGCTGGGGCCTACAGTTTAGACCCTTTGCTGAACTAGTAAGAGGAAGCCAGTCAACGATTTTGGCTGCTTCATTTCCAGTTTTCAATTAATTTATGTTAACTCCTTAAGTAGGGCTGCTTGGCATGTGGCCCAGTCAGATGTCATGCGAAACTTTGCTAAGTGGAGAGACCTCTGCAGGTAACTGACGTGCAATTTGACGTTTATGTTCTATGGGGAAAACACAGATGGTATAGAGACTAGGCGAATTTTTTCCTCAGCTGTGTGTTTAGGAAAATCTGAGTTTTCTTCCTTCCTGTGGTTCCAGTTATGTTTCCAACTGTTCACTGAGAAGTCGAGTATCTGAGAGCTGGGCCATATAAACTGATTACCATAAGGAACACAGCCCACTCTGAGCAAAGCCACTGGTTGTCTATGACTACCTGTTGCTATGTAACACAAGGCAGCCAAGATCATCAGACTTCTCTGCTAAGCATGGGATTGCCAAAGATAATGCCTGTAAGTTTTCATTTAAAGAGGCCAAAATATCACAGTTCAGTGTAGAGAATATAACACACTGGACAGAGCAAGCTATTCAAGTTACCTTTAAACTCTGGTTTTGCAGTGTCTGGACACCTGCGTTGTCACAGATGTAATGCAGCACCAGTAGTGTCTCTGCTAGGCTTCAAGAGAAGTAGCTAAACCCAGAGTTAAGAAAGAAATGCAGGAGTGGGAGTGTGGCCTAGTGGTTAAGACACCATTAGAGACACCCGCATCCCATGTTGGAGTGCCTGGGTTTGAGCCCTTAATCATGCTTTTCACTCCAACTTCCCGTCAGTGCAGATCAAGGGAAGCAGTGGCAGGGGCCCACGTAATTGGGTTGCTGCAATCACGTGAAAGACCTGGATTGTGTCCACACTCCCAGCTTCAGCCCCAGCCCAGTCCTACCTGTTGGGGGCATTTGGGGAGTGAACCAGCAGATGAGTGCTCTCAGTATCTGTCTGTCTCTATCCCTCTGTCTCCCTGCCCCTCAAATAAATTAAAAACATTTTTTTTAAAAGAAAACAAGTGTTCTCTTCTCTCTTTGAGGAGTCACTGTTCACCTGGAACTAAATATATAAAATGTATCATACACGGTTGGGTGAATCAAGAAGTAGCAGGTAAGAATGCTGTTTAAAAATACAAAAACATAAAAAAATCAGCTGAAAAGTGAAAGTTATTCAGAAACATTAATGTAAAGGTAACATTAAAATTTCTGTAACATGGTAAGTAAAACTTCATATTAGATCTTAACTTGAAACAACCTTATTGATTTTTTTACTTCTGTGCTCACCAAATGGATTTATATTCATTTCTGGTTTATGATCATTGATTCCTCCTTAGTCCTGGAAAGAAATGTAAATTATGATTGCCCCTTGTCTGGGAGTCCAACAAGCCCTGGATTTGAAAT